CTCAATATCTTCCTAGGGAGAGAGAGGGGAGGGGGTGATTGGGTTTCAATTTTTTTCCGGCCAATTCGGACCCTTGAAAGGGCCTACATGGGGGTTCTTTTCTGATCTTGGGGTGACTTAAAAAAAAACACCTTACCATTATTCCATATTATGGAATTGATCCGAAATAATCGTCACGTAAACTTTTTAGGAGATAAATTTATTCTTACTTTGTTTAAGAAAGGGTTTATTTCCAAAAGATTTTAATTGTTAAAAATTTGTTCCGCAAGGTTATAACTGGTTTAAATTAATCCGAAAAAAATGAAAACCCTAGCGCGTGAGAAAGGATTATAGGATTAATAAGTTTTCATCCCATCTTAATGCCCCCCCCCAAAAAAAAAAAAACATTTGTTTTCTTCACAATGTCATTTATGTTTTACAAAAGTTGTGAATATTTTTTGTCAAAAAAGTTCTTTCTTAGATTTAAAAAAGTTGAAATGGAAAACATATAAATGCGCCATTTTGTTTATAAGATTTAACTGTCCTTTTAGCGAACTGTATTCTTGGATTCAAATGGATATTATAGATAGGTTTGTTAGATTCACAAAAGTACACTTAAACCTTTATCTGAATGACAATGAGGAGGATATCATCGTTTTTCTTGTTTAAAAGTGTTAAATATTACGATTTCCTTCATTGTCTTTGCTGTATTTATCCGTAAGTCACTTTTGCTGAGAAATTCAATTGAAAATAATCATTTTCTAACATAAATAAATGTTTAAAGGGTACCGTTGTGAATCCGACAAGCCACTCCATACTGTGAGGGTCATTTGAAACAACGCTCACAGTCTCTTTATTTTATTATTTTAGTGGAGAAGCATATTTATGAGGTTCATCGTATTCAGAGCTCGTCAGATATTAAGGGGTAATATTCATGGAGAATATATAGAGAGGAATTAAAAGAATCTCTCGGTATGAATTTTTTCAGTCCCTTTCAGCCTGAAAGGGAGTTCAAAGTGTACAAATTATGTAAATGTTCACAAATTATATGCAGTAGAGTACTTNTAGAAGGATAGAAGGATAGAAGGATAGAAGGATAGAAGGATAGAAGGATGGAAGGATAGAAGGATAGAAGGATAGAAGGATAGAAGGATAGAAGGATAAAAAGATTGAAGGTTAGAAGTAAATGAAAGGATAGAAGGATAGAAGGATAGAAGGATAGAAGGATAGAAGGATAGAAGACTAGAAGGATAGAAGAATAGAAGAATAGAATCAATAGAATTTAAAATCATTTGGACAAACTTAAATCTTAAAGGATTTTCTGAATCCCAGATTGCAGCAATGGAGTCACATAGAAAAAAGGTGAAAACTCAGGAAACTAAGGAAACTAAAAGATTTCGAGCAACAATAAAAAATGTACAATCAAGGAAATGCGGAAAAAATGAATTTTTAACCTAAAGGTACAATAGGATATATTTTTAAATTCATACTTTTAAAACAAAATAAATCACTTAACAATTACAACTTTTTTATTTCAGTTTTTGGGGCACAGTGGTTCGAGAGTTGCACATCTAAACTAATCTGAAGTAAAATACACCCTGGTCCAGTGGGTCCAGTGCTCAAGGGAGCACTGGACCCACGAAAGAACCATGCCGGCCATTCTTTGAGAAATGGTGTGATCCGTATTAATGGAGCCAGTGCTTCCATTTTAATCCAAAAACTATTAAGATTTGTACAGAAATTTACTTCCCTGGAAAACTTTGTAAACCAACTAAAAACAAAAAATTTAAAAGTTGGATGTGCATCTACCTTACCACCAGGCTACAATATATTAACAGAAAGATTTTTTAAAATAGGAAAAGAATAGAAGAAGAATAGAAGAATAGAAGAAGAATAGAAGAATAGAAGAAGAATAGAAGAATAGAAGAAGAATAGAAGAATAGAAGAAGTATAGAAAAAGAATAGAAGAAGAATAGAAGAAGAATAGAAGAAGAATAGAAGAAGATAGAAGAAGAATAGAAGAAGAATAGAAGAAGAATAGAAGAAGAGTAGAAGAAGAGTAGAAGAAGAGTAGAAGAAGAGTAGAAGAAGAATACAAGAAGAATAGAAGAAGAATGCAAGAATAATACAAGAAGAATAGAAGAAGAATAGAAGAAGAATAGAACAAGGATAGAACAAGAATAGGAGAAGAATAGAAGAAGGATAGAAGAAGGATATAAGAAGAATAATGGATAGAAGAAGAATAGAAGAAAAATAGAAAAAGAATAGAAGAAGGATGGCAGAAGGATGGAAGAAGGATAGAAGAAGGATAGAAGAAGAATAATGGATAGAAGAAGGATAGAAGAAAAATGGAAGAAGGATAGAAGAAGGATAGGTGTATAAACGGGTGAACGGATAGAAGAATAGAATGATGGATATAAGAAGGATAGAAGAAGGATGGAAGAAAAATGGATGAAGGATAGAAGGATAGATGAAAGATAGGTGTATAAACGGGTGGATGGATAGAAGAATAGAATGATGGATATAAAATAAGTATTACCTGACTAGACGCCTGAAGTCCCTTTAAAATTAATCAAAATAATTATTATTATCTAGATTGTTCAAGATTCCACCGATAACGAGTCTTTTTTGGCGAGTATGTAATGTTACTAGCTGTAGGTAAGCTTAAAATTAGAATAAATCGATTTAATGGTAAATAAATTGTATAGATTAAATTACATTTTTTAATCCCTGGCCTAGGGAAAAAATAGAGGTTCAGAAGTTTTTTTAAAATGTTCTCCCCTCTTCTGTTCCTCAATCCAACCCCGTACTATTCGCAGTTTTTGCGAAAAATTTAATCTGGGCTAAACGCTGATTGATTAATGATTTATTTATTTGCTTACATTGTGCAGTAGTAGTACAGTGTGTACTGTACATGGTGTTTGTTTAGCTCCCTGTACACGATGCACGAGGAGAGTGTTCGGAGACATCTAGAGATAGATCATTTTATTCCACCAGAGAACTTAGAGAAGGTAATTTAACTATTAATCTATATCTGTTTGTATCCAATAAACGTAAAAACGGCTGAACTGATCGGGCCCAAATTTTGTGTGGGACCTCACGTGACCCTAGGGAAGGTTTATGACTGATCAAAATTTCAAATATTTTGCAAATGCGCCAAAAAATATTATGAAATCCGCAAAAAAAATGTTGTTTTTGTTTTGTTTTATACTGTACAAAGAGAAGATTCTTGCATCCTTCCAATAAATATCATACTTTCCTGCCCTAATCATAATCATAATCTCTTAAATTACGTGGGGCAGGGGGTCCTGCGTTAAAAGTTAGAGCTTATTAATTATTGACCCCACCTCCCCATTTCTCCTATTTCTCGCGTTAAACGTAGAATTTTTTAATCTTAAACTTGTGATTTTTTGTTGGACTTTTAAAACGTTGAAATCAAGTGTTTTACGATATTATGATAGGGGTTGAATAAGAGATCAAACCAATGGTCAAGAGTTTAATTCAACACAGCCAGGCCGTTAAAATCTCTAGTAAGTCTCACTTGTGTGTGTGTGCGGGGGGGGGGGGTAAGTGATGTATAATGAATTCAAGTTATGATGAGGTAGGCACAGACGTGCACGAGTTCAGGGCATTCTTAAATCCCAGGTGGTGGATTTAAGTCTTCTAACTTGTTTAAAAATTGTAACACATCCCGGAAGGCGGGAAAAGGGTAAAGGTTGAGAACAGGTTTTAGTTAAAACGTTGTCTTGTTAAAAAAGTAACGCATAATTGTAATGCGTGAGAGGGGAGACCGATTTTTCCATATAATAAAATGGATGAAGAATGTAAAATAGGTTAGAATTAAAGGAGAAAATGCATGCGGTGTCAAAAGATTAGGAGAAAAGGGAGGAGGACAGCTGAAATTGGGGATGGGGGGGCAGTGGCGTATATAAGGGGGATATTGGGGCTACTTACCCCCCACTAGAATCCTTGGGGTAATTACCCCCCCCCCCACCAGAATCCTTGGGGTAATTAATCCCCGTTTAGAAACTTGATCTCCATTCTCCTTGTCCATGATTACCATTAAGAGAAAAAATGTCAAATGGCGCTACGCGCAGATAATCTTGATTGAAAACCCTTCAGCTTGCATCCTACCAATAAATATCATACTTTCCTGTCCTATCATAATCTCTTAAATTACGGGGAGGAGGGGGGGGGGGTGCCCCAGTTTTTAAGTAAGAGAGCTTCTTTATATACAATGATAATGTAGCATTTTTCATTTTTTTACTTTTTAATTGTTCGATGGGGCTTTAAAAAGAGATCAAAACTATGGTCAGAGTTTAACTCAACACAGCCAGGATGTTAAAAAGCTCTAGTTTCGTTCTTGCTTGTGTGTGTGTGTGGGGGGGGGGGGGGTATTGTCTTTAAAGAATCTAGTATTTGTAACATGTCGTATATAATTTGACCAGTTCAAGAACAAACAGGTTTAAATAATATCGAACTCCTGAAAGCCTGTGAATAAAGGGGGGGGTGGGGGCACAAAGCCTATTACTCTCCGGAAAATTTAAACAGTGTTTAAACATAACTTAGAATTGTCGTAGGAGGCTGATTTTTTGCATGCAAACTCAGAATTATGTATATTTTGCATTTTTTTGTTTTAAAGGAATCTGAGCAAAAGTGCGCGCGTGTCTATCGTTCTTGATAGACGTGCTAGCAGCCAGCAGTCACCTTCTGGGCCATCCTGTCATATGTTTTGCATGCATTATGTCGATTCTTGGGTACTAGAAACAACGATTCTCTTTCTTAGGTAAAAAAGTTTCAGGACTCTGATCGGCGCGCTGCTGGCCATAGAGTAATTATGGGCTTAACCTATCATAGTTTTTCATGTTGTGTGTAATTTTATAGGGCATTCTTGAATTCCAGGTGGTGGTTAATTCAGGTCTTCTAACTTCTTTAAAGAATCCTTAGGTTTTAATTGAAACGTTGTCTTGTAAAAAAAAGTAACGCATAATTGTAATGCGTGAAAGAGAAGACCGATTTTGTTCCATATAACAAAATGGATGAAGAATGAAATATAAGTTATCATGAAAAAGGAAAAGATGGGGAGAATATGAGGAGGACGGCTTAGATTGGGGAGGGGGGGGGAGTACCTTTTTACCATCTTGCGGAAACAAAAATTTTTTCACGTTTCTTCAGTTTCCCAGCTTTGTATTTTCTTTTCAACCGAAAAGAAAAATCACAAAATCGAAATCTTTATTTAGGAAGGAGGAAGGAAGGGGGGGGGGGAGAACAACATTTTTCATTCAATAACTTGAAGTGGACATAATTTAAAGTAACTTTTTAGTTGAAGAGTTGCAACTTGCATGTCCGAATTGCAAAAAAGACAAAGATATTGAAAATTAAATACTTTTCAATTTGAAGGTGGAAAAAGTAGAAAAAAATATCATCCACTTTATTGGTCAGATTCGTCAGATGAATAATTAAAGGGGAACAGTGTGAAAGGTCAACAGAAATTACAATTGGAGAAATTACATTTTTGACTGTTTTAAGTTCAGTATTACTATTTATAACATTGTTATTTTGGTTCGCAGTGTTATACAGTTTTTGGACAGAAATTTGTTCCACAGGCTATACAGGTTAAAATGTTTTGACTAAATTCTATGCATATGCACGAAACTAGAAGATACGAGTGAGGGATGAATATTTATGAAATGGCGGGTTTTCCCATTTTAAATTCTATTTCTAGAAATGCAGGGTGATCAATTAAAAAAACATTTCTTTAAATTTTTAAAACTCACAAAGATTTCGTTCTGCGTTGCTTAATATGCTTTATTGCTTTATTTTACACCCCTATAACTTTCGTTCCGGATTTTGAATTGAAAACTTTTACGATCTCACTCATTAGGGCAGTAAACTCTGCTTGGATAGGCTTGTATTGTAAACATATTATTATTATTAGGCTAATGTAGTTAATATGGGTTAACATTCATTTCAAGACTACTTTATATCGTTTTTCCTCAAACCTCAAATTGTTTTTCTATAAATAAATAGCTTGGAAACCCAGCTTTGTCAGGAATCTTAACTTTCTCTATACAACTCTATACTCAACATGTATTTATACAAGGTTATTCACAAAGGATGATGCTTTTTAATTTCCTGGAAATCATTAAATATGATGGATTGAAAAGTAAGAATAAAAACAGTCTATTTATAGATTTGTTAGAAATTAGATTTTTGATGTATGCCGACATCCCGTCCCATACCCTTCCAGGGGGAGGTACTGTCCCCCCCCCCTCCTTGTGACCGCACAGACACCGGATTTAGTAATTATCGATATTCGTAGTCTTTGAAATATATATTGTTTGGAGAAGTAAGGAAGAGGGGGGGGGGGATACAGGGTTGCATTGCATATATTCGCGAAAAATCCTCAATTTGTTTAAATTGTAATCGCTAGTAAACTCGGACCGGAGTAACCAGTAATAATTTGACCGCAACGAGTCCCCGGATTCATGATGGGGGGAGGGTAATGAATTTCTGGGGGGGGGGGCGAGATTGTTAAAAATTGCAATTTAAAAGGGAATCCCAACTTTTGGTGGTCTTCCCCCCCCCCTGCCGTAAAATCATTTTAAAGATTGACCTTTAATTGGTATATCCCCCCTTAATCATTTTTAAAATGGCCTAAAATGGATACCCTCCCCCTCACAGAGCCCGATTACAACAATTAATCTTGAAATAGTGTATTTACCATCTGACTTGTGCTTTCGACATGGAAACAGATCCTTCTTCCAATCTTTTAATTTGGGCGCCAAATCTTGACAATAGAAATGCGACATAAACCCGGTTTGGATCTAATGTCCACTGTTACATATCATCATAAATGAATTAAAATCATCCTAAATTAAATTAGAAAGTAATGAAACTGAATATTTAAAGTTTAACCACAAATGTTGGTAATAAGTTAAACAAAATATTCAAACATTTAAAATCTAATATTTTAGGCGTCTGAACTAATGATGGGATTGCGATGTCGACTCTGTGATGTTCTAATAAAATCAGGTTTGTAACCCTCCGCCTCTCCCAATCCAACTAATTTATTTTTAAAATTAAACTCTTCCGTAAATATTCACTTTTCAATAATATTCAATGAATTATTATTCCTTGAGATTGTTTCTGTCATGAAGATTAAAAACAAACTGTGTAGATGTATGTATATAAAGTGTTGGTGGGGGTCGATCTAATTAACGAACTTTTACGTAAAAAAGGGGGGGTTATATTTAACCCTTTATAAAAGAATTGAACATAAACCATACTCTTTTTTTTACATACTGAATTACAGTTTACCATTAAATACAAACCTTTTTTCTGTTCATTCCTCTGAGTTCTCCTGTAGGCTGGTTTGTATGGAGATTTCTAATGTAACCAATATGTTCTCTTACTCTTTCATCTAAAGATCTTGTTGTCTGTCCTATATATTGTAGTTTACACTGCTCACATGTAATACAGTAAACTACATTTCTGGTCTTACAGTTGAAAGTTCCATTAATCTCAATCTTCTTGCTGGTATTAGAGGATTGTATAACTGTTCCAGGCTTTATGTAGGGACAAGTTGGGCAATTTTAACCACAAGGTTTTATTCCTAGGTCTCATTCTAGGAGGATCTGGAATTCTGGCTCGGATGAGTTTATCTATGGATTAGGAGGTCTTCTATTGTTAACCATAGGTGGATTTTGAAAAACCTCCTTCATCCAAGGATCCTGGACCATGGTTCTCCAATGTTTCTGTAAGATGAAGGAAATAGAATCTCTGACACGGGAAATTTATTGAGCACTTCACACAAATAAACTTTCAACATAATCTTTATTCATTTTCCAAACAGAGAAATGTTTTATTAAAAAAAAGAAAACAGACAAATTATTTTTTCAGGGGAACAAATCGAGCATCTGGAGGCTCATGGAATCAAAACAAACGAAGAAGCGGTGAAGGTGATTCAATCAAAGGAGATAGACTTGAAAGAAAAAGGGAAAGAGTTGACGAAAGAAGAGAAAGAGATGAGCGAAGTTGAAATTGTGAAAGGTGAGTTATTCTTACGGGATTGTTTTCGATTGCGACTCCATTTATAGAGTGGCATGTCTGATTCACTGTGGTACCCTTCAAGGGTTTATCTGATCAAGAGTGCACAAGATTTTCACCATCGTCTTTTCAATTAATAGTTCCTGTAAAGTGACTTGCGCGATTCTGCTGCAGAAACAATGAAAGGAAATTTCAAGAACTTGACGCTTTTCAAGTCATCAAAAAACAACAATATCTTATTCATTATTGACCAGATATATAGATGTTTACCATTGTGAATCTGACTTGTCCCTCTCTAAATGGAAAACCACTAAAAATAAAAATTACATATCAAATTTATTGTTAATGAATGTGCGCGCACACATGCTTGAAAATTCTTTTCTTCATACATTAGACAAAGGTATCAAATTATCTAATGATTTGTTGTATCAAAGTCTATTGATGGTATATGCTTGAAATATATCAGTTTGGTGATTGAAATATCTCTGTCTTCTATCTGAAATGAAAAATTTATATTTTATGCTCCCTGATTTTCTTAATAGTTGATTTTTTGGATTTAGTCAGAAAAAAAAATTGAAAAAAAATGACTGAGGTATGTTTGATCGCCAAAACGGCAAAATCGTTATCAAGCTTTGTAAGATGTTCTGAAAGGATATTTAAATGTTCTTTATAGGGACTGTAAGCTTTATTTCAAGTGAAAAGATGGAAATGCACGATTCACAACGGTACCCTTGAAATCTTAATAACCGATCAGTTATATGGAAGATATTGTCGTTTTTTTAGTTTAAAAATGTCTATTTCTGATAATTTTTCTAAGTTATCCTGCAACTTAAATGCTCAAGTAACGTTTGTAGAAAAAACACAATTATAAATAATAGATTTTCAAAATTATAAATGTGGAAATGTAATTCCACTTGGATCAGACAAAGCTTTAAAGGGTACCGTTGCGAATTGGGCATTGACATCTTTGAATGAAGGGTTACTTAAAATTGCGCTGACAGTCCCTTTAGGTTTATTTTGCTTGTTTTTAGAACTAGAGGAAGGGGAATTGCCGGCTTCTAATCCCAATTGTCTACGCAAATCAAGGTATGAGGATTGGTTCAAAGGAATATTATCTGTTTTTCATTTTGTAAATTTAAGCCTTGAGTTTGACATTGGCTGTTGTAGCTTTGATTGGCAAGATCTTAACCATATTCCCTCAAAAAATATTTTAGCTAGTACGCTCAAATTTTCAGACATCTAAATAACACATGTCCCTTACTTAGGGTCAAAAGCTGGGCTTTTATACATATTTGGGTTTTTGGCAAACTTGCTATTTTGATTGCAGATTATTGATGTAGAGCCCGAGGGGTCTCTGAAAACAACAAAATAGAAATTAAACGCGCCTTTATTTTAACGTGCAAACATATTGTGATAACAACGATAAACCAACTTTACAATTATTACTTTCTCAGTTCTGTCACAAAAAAAACTTTTTTGGGAAAAATATCAGATTTTTTGTTAATTTATTTTTTCATTTAAACATAAAACATTTGTTTCATTATGTTTTTCTTTTAATTTAAGATTTTATTTTGTAAGTTTGAAGAGATATTTAGGTATTTTTCTTTGTTCTGATATATTCCCAGGGGGCGGGCATAACTCTCCTAATTTTGCCTGGCTAGGTTTATACTGTACAGTGAATTTTGTCGAAAAATGTTTCCTTATGACTGAGTTGGTATCATAGAGTACAGTGGGTTTAATCCTAAGTACAACTTTTTGTACGGTAATGTGTGGACAGTTAATTTTAATATTTTTCAACAATGAGATATTGTAGTGTCAAAAATTGTGTAAACAACGATGTTTCGGGTTCAGAAATTTTTCATAACATACGAAAAGAGTGGATAGAACAAGTTATCTGGAAGACAAAACACCCAATTTTTATATGCTCCTACAAAACCAGTAGATTATTTCTATTTAAAAATCACTTGTTTCACGTTAAGTTCATTTATGTAAAATAAATATTTTGACAGTTTTAAGTTCTTCAATAACATAAAAATTAAGTCTAACCTAATTTAGATTTATTATTAGTTCAGAATTGCTTTTCATTCTAAAAGTCAAGACACATACATTCCTAAGAGTTAATTGTACAATGTAGATTTCAGAAGTAAAGAATTTGATAATAAACAAGATGTTATTAAGGAGAAGGATTTTATTTTTTTCTCTATTTGTCATGTCTCATTTTTATAATATGAGCTTATTTTCTTTGCTTGAAAATTTTAGGCTTCACTTTCAAACAATAATGTCTTAAAACACTGATTTCCGAATAAAGATCCCCCAGGTAAAATTTCTGATCGGGTCATTGTGTACAGTGGCTGTACAATAAGAAGTCTAAAATTCCAGATGCCCCCTCTATTACTAATATCTCGATGTATATTCCCCGTCATCTGCATTATTTGAATAACACCAAAAATATTCAAACCTGAAAAATTGTAGCATCCTGAGTATATTTAAAATGTGAAAATCCATTTTTGAATTTCCATTATTGTTGTATCATAGTACACACAGTCTTTTTAAACTAGCTAGACGGTTGGATTAGGATTTAACCTTTTCTGACCATAACTATTTAAACACATGATCAAAACTTTTTGGAGGATTGCATGCATATTCCATTATATTTTCCGTATTTTTTATTTTGCCTGGCCATAAACCTTCCCTGGGGTCATTTAAGTTAACCCGAAAAAAAAATTAGGTTTAATCAGTTTTTCTGTTTTGAGGTTTTTGAATACAAACAAGCAGACAAGCCAAATTTATATTAAGATTATCTATATAATATTCATGACATACTAGATCATTCTGTGTCCAAATTTAATGAATTTAAGCCGCGTCCTAAATCCGCCAAAAACCAGTTTCAATTAAGCACCGGCTTAAATCTTTAAACATTGAAACCAACTGTATTAGAGCCGCAGCTTAAATTTAAGCCGCCGCTCAAATTCTTCAAATTCGGCCTCCGTATAGCTCAAAAATCAACTTTTTTCTTCTCTGATTGGATAGTGGAATTTGAATAAAAAATATCGTGAAATAGTGAATGTGTGTGTGTACAATCTCAATCAGTTCTGAACAGGAGCCAAACAGAGGCCAAATTTCAAGAATTTAAACGCTGAGCCACAAAAAACCGGTTCTATTCAAGTGGAATCAACAATACTTGAGCCGCGTCTAAAATTTGTATTATTGTATATTATTGTATTATTATTGTATTATTGTTCAGAAGCCCTGAGTTTCTGTCTACAGCAAAGAAAAGAAAGAAAAATAAAGATCTGCAGAAAGAACTGGAAAAGAGGAAGAAGAGATGTACCAAGAAAGTAAAAAAAATACTGAAGTACACTAATAAGGAGAATAGATTGACCTCAAGGTGAAAACTTTTACTCATAAATTAATCCCTCTCAAAATAACAATAATTTTTTGGGTGAATTTTAAATTATTACAAGAAACACGAAAATGGGTTTGGCTTAAACTGATCCATGAAAACTTTACCGATTATAATTAAAAGTTTAAGACGGCAGTAATTAGTAATTAGCATACAGTTTAAAACTTGACAAAACAGTTGACATTTGATAAGAAAGCATTTTCTAATTGATTCATTTCAGATCGGGTACCCCCTCCCCTCCTCCTCCCAAAACCATGTCTAAAACCCCCACCATCAAGAAAGTGAACTCAACATTAACCCTTTCTGTGGGTTCCAGTCCACTCAGAGCAACCAGAACACCTTCCCAGTCCCCCATTAAAAGAAAATCACGGCGCTCATTAACAATTTCCGTTTCCCCAGAAAGAAAGCCCTGTTCTCTCCCAAAGTCGGTTTCTAAATCTCAAGAATTTTCTGTTAAATCATCATTAAAGTCTTCTGGAAGGAAATCGTTCCCTTGCATAACAGTTTCTAGTTCTTCATCAGTATCAAATTCACCAATGAGACGATCACGATCTAAACGCTCCTCAAGTTCAGAATCTCAGTCTTGTGAAAGAAGAACTACACAGAGCAAAACAGCTCCAGGTCTGCAAAGAAGGCAATTACGCCCAAGAAGGATTTCCACTTCATCTGACCAACAAAGATCAGTCTCTAGATCCCCTCGGTTTAGACAATCAGAATCAAACGCATCTGAAAGACAACCTCGCCCCAGAAGATCAAGTTTTAACACACCTAGAAGACGGTCTAGTAGATCAGTGTGTAGATCTCGCTCTAAACCCTTATCTGAAACAGAATCAAACTTTAAACGATCAGTATATAAACCTTATAAAAGAACAGATTCTAGATCTCCCAAAAGACTATCACTTTCTAGGGAGTCAAGAAAACGATCTCACACTCAAACATCTCTTTCTGGATCTCCATTTAAACGCTTTCGATCAAGTTCTGAGAATTCAAAAAGACGGTCAAGTAGATCTGTCTCTAGGACACCAGAAAGACGATCTACCTGTAAGAGATCTTCAACAAGGTCTTGTGAAAGACCATTGCGTTCGTCTAGATATAGAAAGAATGAACGTAAAAGCAGATGTTACTCCCCTGAGATTCCCCGACGACAAATTGATAGACCTCGTAAATCTCGTCTTCATCCCAGAACGAGCTTAGACGACTCCGAATACAGTGACGAGTCAAGTCCTCACAGAACTGAAAGCTCAAATTCAACTGATTTTATCTCTAACATTAAATCAATTCTTCTCTTCGTCAAAAAGCCCAAACGTGATGAAGCACATGCGCCCAATACGGTTAAGAAGACCTTTAAATCCAAGAGCCCGTCACCCGTTCCGTCTACTGCAGCAAGGAAAGCCCCAGAATCTGAGGGTCCTGTATCCCTTCCGTCTTCTGAAGCAAGGAAAGCCCCGGAATCTGAGGATCCTGTATCCCTTCCGTCTACTGCAGCAAGGAAAGCCCCGAAATCTGAGGGACCTTTATCCCTTCCGTCTTCTGCAGCAAGGAAAGCCCCAGAATCTGCGGGTCTTGTATCCCTTCCGTCTACTACAGATAAAGAAGTCTTAAAACTCGAGAGTCATGCATCTTCATTATATCCTAGTACTTCAATCCCAGAAGTTCAGAACTCTAGGAATGGTAATCCCCCGCAGTTTCTTACTTCCCTGGAGGTCCCTAAAAAGATTTTTAATAATCTGAAAACCCCTTTGATTCCGCGAGCTTTGTATGTGAAAGGGCTTTCAACTATTACGGTTACTCCAGAAGGTGCAAAATCTTGCCTGGTTTCTAATTCATCAACATCTGTGATATCTATGAAGGCAGCAACAAACCTGGATCCATCATTTTCAGGAGCAAGCACTAGTAAATCTATTCCTTCTGAATCGTCTTCTTCCTTCAATGGTTCCTCCCAGAACTGTCTGCCTGCCTCCAATGCACTCCCTGTGCCTCCGACGGAATTTATATTACCCCTGAAATCCCCAACTGCTAAGTCTACTAGAGATTTGTATCTACCTCCGTACAAGACTAGACCTTCTCAATATAGTTTTATACCCCTTGAAAATTTAAAGGATGTAGAAGACATCCGAACAAAGGAGAAACCAAAGTAAGTTGACAGTATCTGACCTTCCACAATAATATTTATCATACTTAAAATCTCTAAGATCAACATTTTCTTCTTCTTAGTCATTTGGTAAAACTTGACAAATGGAATTTTTAAAAACCTGGTTATAATCAGTATAAACGTAAGCAAAAGAAATAAATTTAACATTTTCAAAGTAAAAATTGAAAAAATTGTCATTTTTCAAGTATGCATTTAATTGCTCAACATATTAAAAAAATCGGGAACTTAAAATTTAAGTCGTTACTAATTTATGATTCATGTTTAACTGTTTAAGGGATGAGCATGTACATATGGTACATACAGCTGGTAAGACGAAGAAACAAATCCACCAGTTTCCAAATTCACGGATTTTCTGCCCTTTCTATAAATGCAGAGCAGACAAGCAGAGCTTTGCAGATATCGAAGACCTGAGGAAACATTTCAACTTCAGACATCAAAGAAATGGGTAATTACTTACTGGAACATTTTTAACCATTAAACACAACTTAAGGTGCGTAATTTCAAGTGACCCTTCATTAACTTCAAATAACCCTCCATTAACTTCAAATAACCCTCCATTAATTTCAAGTAGCCCTCTATTAACTTCTAATAACCCTCCATTAATTTTAAGTGACCCTCCATTAACTTCGAATAACCCTCCATTAACTTCTAATAACCCTCCATTAATTTTAAGTGACCCTCCATTAACTATAAATAACCCTCCATTAATTTTACGTGACCTTCCATTAACTTCAAATAGCCCTCCATTAATTTCAAGTGACCCTCCATGTAAAAATAGCAACGCCTGATTTACAACGATACCCTTAAAGCTTTGCATGAAAAAGTATAAATTATAAATCAATGTTTTTTTAAACTGATTATTTTTAATTGAGGTTTCTCTGCAAAAGCGTATTTATACTGCAGGAGATAACATATCGAAAATTATTAAAATTAAGGATTACAAAACCTAAAAATCACAATATTATCACATTATTGATAAGATTAAGGTTTTCATGGTACTATTGTGAATCTGGCTGCCCTGGCATTGTCAGCATGGGGACGCTTACAGTCCCTTGAAAGATTTTTCTTTAAAATTATCAATGAACTTGAAGATGCACATTTTCATTAAAAAAATAATTACTGTACAAATGAGATTTTATTAATAAAATGTTTATTTCAGTATTATGGACGGTCTTATTCGATGTGGAGACTGTTCTAAGAAAGGATACAGTAACGATCTGAACTTCAAGTACTCAGATTTTATCAAACATCTGAAAATCGTCCATCAGGCCGCCGGACTTGAAGCTAAAGACTTCAAGTACTATGCAGAGCTGTCAGAGTCTTCTTATGGAACTGTTATTTGTACTTCTTGCAAGGTAGTTTCATGTTCATTAGATTAAAGGAATTGTTGGGGTAATTTGAAGTGACCGGCCATTTATTGACGGGACTGTCAGATTCGAATTCGCGTACGGTACTCTTAAAAGCTTAGTATGAACAAAAATGAATGAAAAGTTATTAAATTGGACAATTGATTCATCAATGCACGTTTATCTATAAAGTGACGTGCTGATTTAGACTTTTCAGGAACAGTGGAGGAAATGTTTAGAATTCAACACTTCTTAGACTATAAAAAAGATGATATCTTCCATATTATTGAGAGGGTACCGTTGTGAATTGGGCAGGCCCCTCTTTAGATGGAGGGTCACATGAAATTTCAACGACAGTCCCTTTAAGTGAGCCTTCATAGAAAAGTAAAGTAAACATTCACCATATTGGGCAGCTGAAAAATACTGTGACAGTGTTCAAGGGGGGGGGGGAGGGGGGACTTGTTATATTTTGATTTTCCTTGAGTTTTAATTGCTTACTAACTATTTGCATTGAGATGCTTCTAAGTTTCTTAAAACTAATATTTGGGAAATGGTTGAAATTTTCTGAAAACGAGCATACTTGACAAAATCCAATATGGAAACCAGGAGAAATAGAAATAGCAAATATACATCAATTATTTGAAAACAGTCTCTTATATTTGTGAAGGATGATTGTGTTGGTTCTCCTGGGTTCTATCTGGAGAACAAGGAGAGTAGGCTGGCGAGGATTAGACGCGAGCACAGCGAGAAGCATAATCAACCTTCTAGTCTTCTCCTGGGCTGCCAACTCTGCAGCAAATCATTTCCCTATCCAGACCATACAGAGGTAATTATAGATTAGGAATATTTCCCTATCCAGACCATACAGAGGTAATCATAGATTAGGAATATTTCCCTATCCAGACCATACAGAGGTAATTATAGATTAGGAATATTTCCCTATCCAGACCATATAGAGGTAATTATAGATTAGGAATATTTCCCTATCCAGACCTGTTGAATCCTGCTTCAAATTCTAGCTTGTAAATAGATATCTAAAGAAAACAGTGACAGTTCAATTGTTAGTTTTAACACATTAGGAAAAGGTGACTTAAGGAATTGACACAGAACGTGAAAACTAGAAAAAGAACTAGTCCCATGAATCTTTACTACAAAAATAAACATTTGACAGATCTTGACCTATACGTTCATCTCTATAGTAAAGTATATATATATATATTACATCTATAGATATAAGTATAAAAAACAATAGACAAGTGAAACAAAGACATGACAGCTCCTTCTATAAAGTAAAACAAAAACAAAACCAAAACTGTTGGAACATCAAAACCCAGTTTGATCTGTTTATATCTGTATAAGTCTATAAAATCTATTGAATCCAAAACAAAGATATGAGGAAAGTGTCTCCTTGACCTTATAACATAAACATGAAACAAATTTGTAAAATATATATATCTACTGAATCTGTATAGAGTATTTCTTTAACATATTTCGTTTATTTATATATATTGTGATCTACTAGTTTTTAGGCTTTCAGCCTCATCGTGAACTATCTCGTCGATACATGGAAATATACTACTAAACATACAAAACTCTGTTAGGATTAAGGAGACAAACAAATTAAGAAAACTACTGAAAATTAGCAAGCTAGGAATTCAATATCAGCCTGAGACCTTTTTAAAAGTTACCATCTCGCCTAAAAGTGAAAAAGTTTAATAAAGTAAACAACTCTTGCATGACTTGCAATAAATCTTAAATCAACCTTATCAACATTCATTGGTTTGTGAAACAGACCAGAGATTGATAAATTATAAAATTTAAATAAAGAAAAGTTTTAGGTTAAATTATATCCCTTTTAAAGTACAAAGGGTGGCGAGGGTAAGAGCCGAACTTTTCAATTGAAACTATTATTTTGTCTGACCCTTCCGTATCTATCTATCTATATATATATTAATTGGCCATATACGTGGATATATATATATATATCCAGCTTACAGAGGTAATTATAGATCAGAAACATTTCCCTATCCAGACCATATAGAGGTATATTTAGATCAGAAACAATAAATATTTATTCTTCTTATCAACAAAAAGAGGAAAACATGTCAAAAATATGTTGAATGATTACATCATCATATTATCAGAATGAAAAAAAAAAACTGAATATTAAATATTAAAGATACTGTAAGCGTAATTTCAAGTGACCCTTCAAGCAAAGATGGCAATGCCCGATTTACAACAGTACCCTTAAAAGTTAAAACCTTAATTAAATTGCAAAATGTGGAAGATAACGTGGTTTTTCTGACTCGATAGGGGTTATTTATTTGAGTTTCCCCATTGCTTCTTTAAATCAAGAAATGTGCAAGTCACTTTCGCAAAGAAATCGTATTTGAAAATTAAGAAGAAGAAAAAAACAATATATAATTCATACTTGCTCATTATCAGACAATGGTTTCAAGGGATTTTTTCATTTTTAATTGTTTAACTAAATGTATTTAGGGCTGGCTAGCACACTTGAAGGAGTGCAGAAGGACGACATTGGCTAAACCCTGGCAGAATAAATATAATAACTGGAGGTATATAATTAAACCCTGGCAAAATACAAGAATAAATATAATAACTGGAGGTATATAATTAAACCCTGGCAAAATACAAGAATAAATATAATAACTGGAGGTATATAATTAAACCCTGGCAGAATACAAGAATAAATATAATCACTGGAGGTATATAATTAAACCCTGGCAGAATACAAGAATAAATATAATAACTGGAGGTATATAATTAAACCCTGGCAGAATACAAAAAAAATATAATAACTGGAGGTATATAATTAAACCCTGGCAGAATACAAGAATAAATATAATAACTGGAGGTATATAATTAAACCCTGGCAAAATACAAGAATAAATATAATAACTGGAGGTATATAATTAAACCCTGGCAGAATACAAGAATAAATATAATAACTGGAAGTATATAATTAAACCCTGGCAGAATACAAGAATAAATATAATAACTGAAGATATATAATTAAACCCTGGTAGAATACAAGAATATAATAACAGGAGGTTTATAATTAAACCCTGGCAGAATAATAACTGGAGGTATATAATTAAACCCTGGTAGAATACAAGAATATGATAACTGGAGGTATATAGTTAAACCCTGGCAGAATACAAGAATATGATAGCTGGAGGTATATAATTAAACCCTGGGAGATTACAAGAATATGATAACTGGAGGTATATAATTAAACCCTGGTAGAATACAAGAATATTATGACTAGAGGTATATAATTAAACCTTGGTAGAATACAAGAATATGATAACTGGAGGTATATAATTAAACCCTGGCAGAATAAAAGAATATGATAGCTGGAGGTATATAATTAAACCCTGGTAGAATACAAGAATATAATAACTGGAGGTATATAATTAAACCCTGGTAGAATACAAGAATATGATAACTGAAGGTATACCATTAAACCCTGGTAGAATACAAGAATATAATACCTGGAGGTATATAATTAAACCCTGGCAGAATAAAAGAATAAATATAATAACTGGAGGTATATAATTAAACCCTGGTAGAATACAAGAATATGATAACTAGAGGTATAAAATTAAACCCTGGTAGAATACAAGAATATGATAACTGGAGGTATATAATTAAACCCGAGCAGAAAACAAGAATACATATGTTAGCTGAGGCCGAATTTAAAGAATTTGAGCCGCGGCTCAAATTTCGTTGGTTCCACTTTAAACTGTATTTAATGTCTCAATTGAAACCGATTTTTTGGGGATTTGAGACTCAAGTAAATTCATTAAATTTGGATTGAAGGATTTTAATTAAACCCTTGCAGAATACAAGAATATGATAAATGAAAACATTAAACCGAAAATCTTTAACGAAAATCTTTTACTATTTTCTGTTTTTAGATAACCCTGCAGTGACTGGTGTTGTTAATAGTAATGAGAACTGTAAATACTGTTCTGAAAGTATACCAAGGAAACGGATTTCAGATCATATGGAGACTGAACATTTAAACTTGATGTTCCGCTGTAATCGTTGCTCAGATAGGTAAGCATTTACTTCTGCTAGGTGTATATATTTAACATTTATTCATCGACAAATTTTTCGTTTTAGATTCTACGTAATGATTACTCGCCACAAACTACATTTTTTGGGCAGAAAGGAATCACGCACGCTTGCCGCGTTAAATAACAAGAAAGAGAGAGATAAGCATATATTTTAGGGTTAGGTTAGGTTAAGACACTGTCTTGGCCGAGCGCTGTGCTAAGACAGACTAGGGGGCCGAGCGCCGCGGCTAAAACAGGCTCTCTCTGTCTTGTAATTCAACGTGTCATGCGCGCGTAACTCCTTTGGCCTCTGCCTAATTTTTTAAATCCCCATATGATGGATGATTTAAACTTTTGTTAATTCAAAGCTTGAAATTTCAAAGATAAAGATGACAAAAATATATTTTGTAAATTAATAAATAAAAATTCTAAATATAAAAGAATAAATTATTTGCAGAATGCAATCCCGCTTAGAGTCCCTTGTCAACCTTATCTTGTAATCTATAGAATATCTGTATTGTATGGTTTAGGAACCTGCAGTGTTCTGGATTCTCAAGACTCTCTGAGCTCAAGGCCCACCTGGAGTCCAAGCACCCCCTCTCCAAACCCTGGAGTAAGGATATCCTCAACCCTACCCAGGCAGGGGTCCATTTAATTCCATCCAATGCAATCCCAAATATTGATATTACTGCAGAATGCATACTGTAAGGGAGTGTTTATTTATATAATTTATCTCTCATATTGATTACTGATATTTACATCTTCCAACAACCCATTGGGATGAGAGAAGGAATTATATGGACCACTGTATTCAGATGTCATGGTTGATTAGTGTCAAGTGTAAGATCTGTGAGTGGATAGGATATTCTCTAGACAGCGCTAGATCACATACAAAACATGAGGTAAGGATGCCATAATATGAATGAAATACGAATGTATACAATGGAATTGATTGTCATTTCCAGAGTCCGAATTTAATGAATTTGAGCCGCGTCTCAGATCTTCCAAAAACCGGTTTCAATTGAGCGCCGGCTTAAATTTTGAAACATTGAATACAATTTTGAGTGGAACCAACCATATTTGAGCCGCGTCTCAAATTCTTTAAATTCGGCCTCAGATTGTTTATTTGAAGAGTATGGTTGGTGAGAAGGATGTTTACAAGTTCTTCTCCTGCTACTGCAGAATCTGTAATGAATATCAGGTATAATTATGTTAAACTTCACATGACATTGAAATCTTACACGTTTTCAATCAGAACTCATCTTATTAAAGATCTTTTAAGGAGAAGAAAACTGTGTTGAATTTTAGATATGTAACTGGATACATTTGCTCTTCTCGTACTTGTGCGTAAAGTCAAAAGTTAAGTCACAAAGTCATACCAGTAATGTTGCCTGATTTTGACCTTCTCCCTCTGTCTATGTGAAGTAATATCCGATTTTATAATAAGACAATCATTTATCGTAATAAGTAAAGTTTGGGGTTTAGACCAATCTCAAGTAAAGCGTCATAATGTAGAGAAATTTGCTTTGTCTTCTTGCTTCTTCAAAAATATCTATAGCATAGTAAATACAGGGGAAATTAATGTTAGAAATGGGCCAAATTTGCAAAGTTATCTTTTTCAAGCGTATATATTTTTAATTCCATGTTAAACAATAATACACCATACATTTATAAGAAATGGTTAAAACTATTTCTTTAAACAAGAAATGTCAATTTTAAACAAATAATAAGGTGTGAAAATTAGTTTTCGATGATTTTTGTTTTCATTTTCGAACATTTACCTATTTTGAAACAATTCCCGCATTTCAGCTCGTTTCGCGTTTTTGAAACATATCCTGGTTTTGAGACAATTATCAGAATTCATATCAATCAAAAGAAATGTAGATTTATCTTAAAATTTGGGAAATTGAATGTTTAAAATGCGTGAAACTAAAACTTTATTCTCTTATTTAACAAATAAAATGTGAAAACTTAGATTTTAAATATAATTCAGCAGTTAATTTAGGCTTTATGAGAAAATTTTTACTTTCAGTGATTTATTTTGTAAGTTATGAATATGAGTTTTGTTTTGAATAGCGGATTATACTCCAAAACGGGAAAGTGGGTTTTGTCTCGAAAACGCGACAATGATTAAAATTCAGGATATGTTCGAAAATGGAAAACCTGACAGTGTCTTGAAAACGGTCAAGGATTTTAATATAAAAGAACTCCTTTTATAATTTTGATTTAAGAAAATAGGTAAAATTTGGAATTGCTGTCCTTGTGATGCTTATAATGCAATGTTGGTTATAGTTTTCATTATCGACTTTTACTCTCAACATGGGCCGGGATCCTAAAAGCCCAGTCTTTCAAATTGTGCCCATTTCTAGCACTCAGTGTTAGAAATGGGCCAAGTGTTAGTGTTGTAACTATAAATGTTCCCTGAAATAGTAAATTCATTAAACTATTGAATTTTTTAATTGATTTATATATGTTGCAAATAGCCGGCCAAACGGCTGGACCGATTGGGCTGACATTTTTTACGGACACTCATGGGTGGCTAAAAAAATCGAATTTTTTTTCCATGAGCAACGCCGGGCTCTTCAGCTAGTATCAAATATACACATACGATTTTTTTTAAATGTCGTCTTTATATTTCACATTTTGATATAGCTTTTGGGTTACAATAAAAAAATAGCTTAAAGGGACTGTACACGTAATTTTACGCGACCCTCCATACAAAGATGGCAATGCCTGTTTTACAAAGGTACCCTTAAACAATTTGTCTGATCAAGTATTAATTAGATATCCATGTTTTTGTTTATTTAAATGGTGTATTAGCAGTTTCTCTTCAAAAGAGATTTGAGCAATTCTTGATAATGAAAAACGACGGAGAAATTTACAGTAATAAATGTTTATCCGAGACAGAAAAACGACGTTATCTTCCACATTTTTGATCAGATTGCGTTGTGAATCTGGCATTGCCATATTTGCATGGAAGGTCACTTGAAATAACGCAATTAAAGTTCATTTAATCATGTTTTATCTTGAAAATGTTCTGTTCTATCCCAAGTCTCTGTTAAGATTGGTTAAAATGTTCTGTTCTATCCTAAATCTCTGTTAAGATTGGTTAAAATGATTTGTTTTATCCTAAATCTCTGTTAAGATTGGTTAAAATGATTTGTTTTATCCTAAATCTCTGTTAAGATTGGTTAAAATATCCTGTTCTACCCTAAATCTCTGTTAAGATTGGTAAAGGAGAAAGCTCTGAATCCATGAAGCTTCACGCCAGTCTCTGCCACAGATCGTCCCCGAGGAAATAGGAATCTGTATTTGTCAATTGTCATAAGTTCCGATAGATATTTATAGTTTTTAGATTTTTGCTAAATTCCCAGCTTTTGCACTAATAACAATTTTGAGTTTGAGAACTTAACTTGGTTTTTGTGATTAGTTTTTTTTAACGAAACCAAAATTATTATTAATTTTTGATTTTTGCAAAATTTTTTTGTGTGCTGTTTTCAAGCAATACCTGAGACAAGTTTCAGGTTGCAAAAATAAGTCTGAGATATATTTGCCATGTTTAAACTATGGGCGGTAAAATCCAGGTATTATACAGGCCTTAAGGTATTTAATAATTTGAAACCTTTGAAAATTTAAATGTGAATTTTTGTGATCTCTGAAAAGTGTCATTTTTGGACTAGTCTTTTTTTTTAAACTGTTATGTAATTTTAGTGTACTACTGTTAGATGTTAAAAATTTTCTGAAATATATTTTGTATTTTTTTTACTTAGTGCCTCGCTAGTTCTTTGAATTTTATAAGAGAAGTTTTGGTGCAGAAATTGTTTCAAATACAAATTCATTAGATTTAAGAGTTGGCTTAAAATTTACAATTTCTCGAATTTAAAAATTTGGTTTATGTAAAAATATTTTAACGTTTCGGATATAATAGTAAAATTCTCTCAAATTAACTCTTTTAAGGGCTAGCACGCAAAGGAGGTCATCAGAAACTAATTAAAGACGGCCTTCAGTCTAAAAAATTTTAAGTTTTCAGATAGTTTTTTTTATTTAAATTTTTCTCTTTTTTTAACACGTTTAAAAACTTTTTAGAATTTTCTAACATTTACGTACATGCCAGTGTCAGGCATGGAGCGGACTCTTCTTACAGTTTTAACAATTTCAACACAATGTTAGACTTAAAAGGCAATGTTAAAACATTACAAATTATTAATTGACATATATTAAGTACTCATTAAGTTTATAAATGTGTTAAAAAGGGGGTAAAAACAAAAACAAAATTATTTCCTTTTGAATGTCGTCTTCCTTCAAATCACCAAGCACTTGATACTTGCTTGAGACGTAGATAATTTTTAATGTTTTATCCAATCAAATTACATTAAAAAATATCAGAAAATGTTATTGCTTTTTATTATTATTAGGCATTTGCCATTCTATGTTGCGCGCGCATGCCCCGTAAAATTCCAAAACAAAGAGGGGGATTGAATTTTGTAGATCCAGAAATATAATATCTGTGGGATGCCTACGTAGAGGCTGGCAGCTGGTGGGGTCTTAAATGTAAGACATGTGGCCGCAGCGCTCGGCCCTCTAGCCTGTCCTAGCCGCAGCGCTCGGCCCAGAAAGTGTCAGAACATAACCTAACCCTAAGTAATACTAATTTCTGGATTTACAAAATTCAATCCCCCTCTCTCTGCTATGGAATTTTACGGGGCATGTGCGCGCAACATAGAATGGCAACTCCCTTATTATTATTATTATCAATATGTCTAACATTATGTTGAAATTGTTTAGACTTTAAGAAGAGTCCGATCCATGCCTGACCCCGGCATGTACGTAAATGTTATGAAATTCTAGAAATCTTAAACCAAGGAAAGTTTTGAGAAGTGATAAAAAAGAGAAATATTTTAAATTTAAAAAAACTATCTGAACCTGAAAAATCCACATAATCCTGCTGGTTTTAACAACTTTCTTTCTCTTGTCTCTGAGATGCAGTTAATGACCAAATTAAAACCGCAGGACAAAAGACCAGACATGGAGCAGTTAATATACATTCTTCTCTATTCTCTACTGAATTGAAGTTTGGAGCTTGAGTAAATCTTTGGACCTGGAGATCTGGAACCCGTATTGATCCTGTATTCCTATCCTATCTTTCCTTCCTCTTTAAACATGTATTCCTATCCTATCTTTCCTTCCTCTTTAAACGTAAATTCCTATCTTTCCTTCCTCTTTAAACATGTATTCCTATCCTTCCTTTCCTTCCTCTTTAAACATTCATTCCTATCCTATCTTTCCTTCCTCTTTAAACATGTATTCCTATCTTTCCTTCCTTTTTAAACATGTATTCCTATCTTTCCTTCCTCTTTAAACATGTATTCCTATCTTTACTTCCTCTATAAACACGTATTCCTATCCTATCTTTACATCTTTACTTCCTCTTTAAACATGCATTCCTATCCTTTCTTTACTTCTTCTTTAAACATTCATTCTTTCCTTTTCATTTCTTTCCTTCATTCAAAATTAAAATAACTGCTGATGTTTGTTATAGGTTGCTCTGTATTTGTTATAGGTTGCCTTGTATTTTGTATAGGTTGCCCTGTATATATTATAGGTTGCCCTGTATTTTGTATAGGTTGCCCTGTATTTATTATAGGTTGCCCTGTATTTGTTATAGGTTGCCCTGTATTTGGTATAGGTTGCCCTGTATTTGGTATAGGTTGCCTTGTATTTGGTATAGGTTGCCTTGTATTTGGTATAGGTTGCCCTGTATTTGAATCAAAGATTCACCCCCCACTGCACGCAAAGGTTAATGTAAACACACTGCAGGGTTGACACTATCATGATCTACAAAGACCTTCACTTCAGATTGGATTATCTTATCTTAAATATTCAATTTTTAAATTTTTTGATTTTTCCATCTTTTAAAAATTTCTGTTCATTAAGTTTCTAAATGCAGAATTAAGATCTGTAGCATGATATTGATGAGGGACGACTTGTAAATTTTCCAAGGGCGAGAAAGAATGGAAAAATTGCTAAACTTTAATAATCCTGTGACCCCTAGGGCTGGGAGTTGTTCTCATTGAACGATCGTTCTTTCACGGGAACTAACATTGTTCCGAAAAATACGAACACAAAGAACGCGTTCTTAAATATATTGGAAGGATCTATAAAAGTACAAACGGCAATTATTTGAAAAGAATGTTTAATGTATAAAACTGTTGCATGTAATTAAATACATGGTTTGTCTGCTGAATTTATATTAAGATTTTATCAGGGACTAAAATGTTAAATGACATGTTGCCAACTTATTTATAGAACTAAAACTGCAGTGCAAAAAACTGTTATGTGGGGGGGGGAGTACCGAGCGAAACTTGTGAGGCAATGTTTTCAAAGGAATTAGCTTTGTTAGTGAGTACGGAGAAAGGGTAGAGTTGTGAGCCGATCAAAAAGGTAAATTGCTCGAAGCGGGATGTACTGAGGCAGAGGATATGTAACTCGAAGAATGACAAATCCAAGGCAAATAGGTTAGGGAAACACTCTCTCCAACCATACACAGATAGATGAGAACGTCTTGAAAATGTATATTTCAGTAACGAGGTTTCCTACAAAATACAAATTGTTATTGGCGTACATGCATATAAATAATAATTGTTAATAAAGATTAAACAATTGAAGGTTTTTTTTTATCAATAAATGAGTATTGGAATTCTAGGTTTTGTAGGTTTAGTAGGATTGGAGATTTTAGGTTTAGTAGGTTTAGTAGGATTGGAGATTTTAGGTTTAGTAGGTTTAGCAGGATTGGGGATCATATTTTTTGCTGTTGTAAATCAATAAATAAAGGGAAATAATAATTGTTAATAAAGATTAAACAGTTGAAGGTTTTTTTATTATCAATAAATGAGTATTGGAATTCTAGGTTTTGTAGGTTTAGTAGGATTGGAGATTTTAGGTTTAGTGGGTTTAGCAGGATTGGGGATCATATTTTNATAGAAGTTGAATTATTGGGATAAAATATTTATTTTTACGTAACTATCTGAAATAAATGAAATAGAATGATATTCATTTAATATTATAAATAAAAACCTATTTTTAAAATATTTTAGTAAATTAAAATTATTTCTTTACTTGAAATAACAATAAATGAAATAAGTCTTTGCTATTTCTTATTCCTATATTTTTGGAAGGCAATGTCGCAAATCTTTTATATTTTAAACCTACATTAGTTCAGCCAACAGAATTCCTAGTTTGAAATATCTAAGGTCTACGACGTACTAAAGATAAAAGGTTTAGAAACCCAGAGTTTGTGGCAAAGACTCAATTCCTTTCTTGTAGGAAAAGAATTCAGACAATCATATCCCCGCGGAGATTTCTTCTTTCTGACTACAAAAGATCAGGTAACATGTCATGAAAAAAGAATACAATTTTAATTTACATAGAAAATGTAAAGGAAAACATTATATATAATTGTTTTTGTGAATCATTATAGATAGAATTAATACAATAGTTAAAGTAACATCAAGTACATGATATGATATGTAAATTTTGATCCTTTTATCTTTTACTGTTATAATTAAGGATGACATGTCTGAAGAAGAACTGAATTACCACGAAATGTGCGTCTTAAAATATATAAGTAAATAAAGTTTATTTATTTAATGATTTATAATATACTGTCAACTTTTAACAATCTCTTTAAAACATTGCTACCTTATTCTAAGGAATACGATAATTCAAATGAGAAGATCGAAGTATTAAGATAAAATATTGGCATGCCGAAAAAAATACTTTTTAATGACAAATGTTGAAAAAAATATTATTTTTACAAACCTAATTACGAATAATTTCGCGGCATTTTTTTTTTGTGAAATAAATGAGTGTAATGTTTTCCCTATGTCGCATGAATAAGTGATTGAAGGGCATGTAATTGT